TAATAATAATAACAATCATCTCCAAAACTGCTCTGCTGCTAGAAATAAGTTCCCCACCTCTCATCATCCTTTCCCTGCTCCTCTGTGCTGCATATGCTGTTATGTCCACCCATCGTTATAGCTTTCCCTGTGGTTGACAGTTACCACATCTGGCCCACAGGTGACAGGTGAGCAATTTAGATGAATAGCCTTGTCGTAGGTAAAACACTGCAGACATAGTGACGTGTGACGACCAACACTTTATCACTTTTTTTATTATATCTTTCAGTTTTCACACAGGCAGTGGCTGTTTGTCAAAGATTTACTTTCTACTCTTATCTGCCTGTCCTATAACCAGTGCTGTCGGGGATAATAATGAGTCATCTGCAGCAGATGGATCTTGTCAGCATTTTATTTTTCAATATTACAAATGAAAGTTAAAAAATAATAATATTGGGCTTTAGAGAAGAAAGGTTCAGACATTGGCTGAATTGTTACCCTTCCAAAACAGAAAAAATAAAATAAAAATAAAAACACTTTCTGGTTGTTTTTCRTTAGATCTTGATTCCTAAAAATTTAAGAACGTCATTTCAAAGCTTTTACTTTGGTAGGCATATTTCTGTACTTCTGGTCTGCTGTTAGCTCACAGTTAACAGATTTGACTTCAGCATCCAGCAGCTCCCGGGTCCTCGAGCTGACAGAACCCTGGCAGTGCGTTCAAGTCGCAATGATACTTGGGAAATGTAGTTCTGTGAAACGAGTGCTGACGGAAACTGTGTGCGACCGGAAGCAGCGTGGCTCCCGTGTTGTCCGGAGCTTCTGCTGTGGAAAAAGTTGTGAAGTTAGTGACCTGTTTAATGTTTGAAACATGGATCTAAACGACGCAAACTCCGACAGTTTTGGTGTAGAAGTAATTCTTCCAGAGGACGGCAAACCAGCGCCATGTTGTCCGCACGGTGAGACCTCCAAACTGCCTTAATTAGTTCTTTATTTGAACATTGTTTAGCTTTTTAAAGGCTATAACACCCTTAAATGTCTCAGTTAGTAACTATTTTAAGTGACCATTGTGTTTCAGTTAATTCGGCTTATATTATAACCTTAAATCAACGATTGTGATCAAATAATTTAACAAAATCTTAATTTATTTAGACATCAAAGTCTCTCCTGATTGGATTTGATTTGTTTTTACTCAGACTTAAAAACAGAGACAGTACTAAAACTGGTCTAAATGATCTTACAGGACACAGAACCATTTTAAAAAATTCTCTCTATGCTAAATCAGACTAGAAACAAGTTGGTTCCCTGGAGTTTTGTCTTGTTCCTCCTGACAGAACTGATGGATCTGGGTTAGGTTTGTTTACTTTTCAGTTTTTCAGTTCTTCCCACATAACATATTAGTTTATCAGTTTATTAAAAGTACGGGACTTTGTCCCTGTATCCATCTACAAACTGTAATCTGTCTTTTTTTTATGTGGCTTTAGGAAAAATATTTTCTTCCTCATTAAGACTATTTTGGTCCAGGACTGGTTTTCTCTGCAGGATCTTCACAACATCTTTAACTTTTCCCACAAAACCACATTTATCATTTGGTAGCACGATGGATCAGTGGTTAGCACAGTAAAAATGTTCTGGGTTCGATCCTCGGTTCGGACCTGGTGTCTTTCTGTGTGGAGTTTGCATGTTCTCCTCATGCTTGTGTGGGTTTTCTCAGGATACTCTGGTTTCCCCCACAGACCAACATATTTCTTATTCTTTGGACATTTAGCAAATACAAAAAATAAGAACCCTAACTGTAGTGTTGTAGTACTTGAAACTGGTCTTGGTCTTAAGACCGGTCTCAAGACCACTTTTTGATGGTCTTGGTCTCGTCTCAAACTCGACAGCATTTGTACTCGGTCTTGTCTCGGTCTCGGACATTGAGGACTCGGAATTTTATTTCAAGACCAGTCAAGACCACAACTGTGGAAATATCACTAAATAGCCAGGATGTTGTCCAATTTATTTGTTAACATTCTTGCTGTCATTGGATTTAAAATATATTGATTCAAATCCAAACCTGACTCATTGCTATTTACCGGCTGTCACCCATCCCCACTCTCTTCACTCACACTCAGCACTCCAGGAAAGAAAGCAGTGGTTCTCTGGGAAGAATAAAAGATGTCTTCAAATTTTTAAGTAAAAATGTTTGGCTACATTATTCATAAATAATATTGTAAAACAACAACCACCAGGAGAAAGCATACAGCAACTTGTACATTCAGCAGTGCTTCACTATCAGAGACGATGGGACAACTTTAAACTTTTATCGTCATGAATGTTAACAATCTGTCTCTGTAGCAAAATTATTTCCTCTGCCCTCACACAAAAATTACAATATTAGCTCTACATATTAGGTTTGCTACATTGTGGAAAAAAGTATTTAGTCAGCCACTAATTGTTCAAGTTCTCCCACTTAAAAAGATGAGAGTATGGAGGTAAATTTGTGTTTTTATTATTCAATCAAACAAAAAGCATCTTCAATCAAAAAAAATG